CTGACACCACCAAGTCAAGGGTTAAGATCCCCTTACCGGTCATCTTTTAAAAAATAAAAAAAAATTNACAACACCAAGTCAAGGGTTAAGATCCCCTTACCGGTCATCTTTTAAAAAATTTAAAAAAATAAAAAAAATAAAAAGAAAGTTGGAGTGGCCATTATTAATGTGAAACAGTGTAGATTATAGAACAAAAAAACAGTAACTCTTTATGAAAATGCAAAAAATGGTTTTGAATAGCAAATCCGGAGTGTTTGTCAGTAATCTGTCTGGAAGATGCAGTTTATTTCATTCTCTGAACTCTGGTGTCAACTGAAATTACCTAGGACAAAAAGGCAGAAAAATGGATCTTGATTTCTCTTCCAGGAATCTCACGTAAGAGAGAAGACTGAAAAGCGGTTTTATAAATTGTTGCCAGCAAAGGGAAGACATGCTCAGAATACAAAGAGATGGAGATGACAACTTAAAAATTCATTCTATGATCCTATAACCCAGCAATTCCATTCCTGGTTACAAACCCAACAGGAGTATGTACACATACACACCAAAAGACATGTGCTGGAATGTTCACGGCAGCACAATATGTAGTAGCCAAAAATGGAAAACCACCCAAATGCCTATTGACACTAATATGGATGAGTACATTGAGGTACATTCACAAAACAGAATGCTATACAGCAATGAGAAAAAAGAAATCACAGTATATACACAATAATATGGATAAATCCTCAATGCAATGTTGAGTAGAAGTCAGACACAAAAGAGTATATACTTTATGATTCTATTTATATGAGTTTCAAACACAGGCCATGTAATCTATGATGTTAGAAATTAGCACAGTGGTTATCCTAGGGGGTGAGAGACTGGAAGGGGGATTCCGGGAGGCTGGTCTTGCTTTTTTTCTTGATCTCTATGCCAGTTATGTAGGTGTGTTTATTGCATAAAAACTAATCAAGCTGGGTCTTTTTATGCAGTTTTCTGTATATATATTATGTTTCAATAAAGAGTTTAAAAATCAGTTCATGACTCTGTTGCTCACTCATTTGCACACATGGCTTTGATATTTGACTTTAATGGGATGCAACTTTTCTTTAAAAAGAAAGTGGAGAATAAAGCTCACATTTCTGGTCTTTGCTCATAATGTCCAATTGTCAAGAATCACCATAGTCTGTGTCATTTTGTTATGTCACTGACAAGCAGCTACCAGCATGGTGGATGACAGTATATGTCCAAGCCGGGCAGTGTGGTAGAATGGAAAGTGTATAAAACTGGAAATGAGGTTCCCTAGGGCTCCACTGGTCTCTGCATAACCTAATTATTCAGTTAAGCTCCCTGAGCTTCAGTTCCCTTGCTCACAAAATGAGGATAGCACCAGTCTTGGCTGGGTTCTTGTATGGTTTAAATGAGACAATGGCTGAGAAACTATCTGGTACGTAATAAACCCAAATAGTGTAGCTTTTTGTATAATAGGATGACATGTGTGCCATTTAGCCTATCATAGAAGTATTATATATTTTTACATCATATTAATATAATAGTAAGAATTACCCATTTTTTAGAATCAGCTCTGTACCAGTTATTTTCTTCTTTGTAGTCGCCTATACTCCTTAAGTTATCCAGCGAACATTAGTAACACCAGCAATAATATTAACAACATAGATCATGTAACTCCCAGGCCTAAAAATTCTTCTCTTATCCTCTGTAGTGGGTGCTGTGGTGCGCACCCAGATTCCACCCTTCAAGACTGAGGCGTGCATTTCCCAGGACATCGGTGTGTTAGCAGAGCTGCCTCGCACATGGTTACATCCCCTCCCCAGGGCCATCCTGCATCCAGTGACTGCTCAATGCCAGGGTATAAACATCCTGCCTCCGGCCTCAATTCAAGAGGCCATCCCAGCCCAGGGGTCTTTGCAGGATCGGTGGGGCCTCTGTTACTTTTGCATCCCAGTTCAACATCTCTCTTTGCCCCACGTTAGTACTCCCCTCCCGCACTCTGAATCAGAGTCTGTTTCCTGGTACCCAACCTACATATTCTCCAAAGAACAGTCTTCTTAGACTGGCCAGCATCAAAGACTCTTGATGACCAGGCCCCTGTGGAGTTTTACAGCATCTCCCCTTTTTCCTCATACCCCTGAACTTTAGGTGTTAACAAGGTGCTTGCAGTTACTCGAGTGTGCCAGGATCTTCCAGGTCTCTGTTGTTCTCTTGTCCTAGATCCTCTGCTCCTGCCTTATGATTCTGGTTCCCCAGAAAGGACTTCAGCTCTAGAGTCCTTTCTGACCGTCACCTTTCATAGAGCTCTCTCCTCCGTGCCTCCCAACAGCCCGTGTACATCTAGGTCACTCTAAGGCTGTGCTGTCTTGTGAATTAGCAGTTTGGGGATGAGTCTCCCCCTCCCAAGGCTCAGCTGTATGCAGAGACAGCTCTGAACAGAAGAATGACATCAATCCACAGATCTGCCAGTAGGTGGCGCTGAGCTACCCAACGCTGGACTTGGACAAACTTCACTGTATGCAAAGCGCCCCATAAAGCACATGATACAATTTCAGAAATGTTGAAAGTTTTTCATGACAAAGACAGAAACAAAACAGCC